CTACAAAATTACTATAAAACATCACAGTGTTCTAATATATCAAAAACAGCTACAAAGTTACTATCAAACATCCCAGTGTTCTAATATATCAAAAACAGCTACAAAATTACTATCAAACATCTCATTGTTCTAATATATTAAAAAACAGCTACAAAGTTACTATCAAACATCTCAAAATCTGAACAACCTGCAAACCTAGTTACACAATCTCATTCACCTCAACAAACTTGAAATTTCAGCATCAGGAACAAGAGACACCCATTTAGATAAAAAAAAAAAAACACTCACACACACAAGAAGATATCATTTGTTTTACCTGTGTCAAGATCCATTCCATTTTTTTAGCAATAATTGAAATCATGAGAAATAACTATATTAAAGGATTCTGAAATTTTCCTTCAATCTCAAAAGTTCCTTTTATCCTTGGAGAGATCTTGAGTTGTCATTTACTGATAAATCTATTTTTTCATTGTTTTTCTTGTGTTATTCCTTTTATCTAATACTTTCATTCCTGTCCAATATTTATAAGCTGTACCTATAAGATATTTACTATTCTGTGACACCTCCACAGATAAACCTACTAGTGTTCAATGTGTTTATATATACATACATATGATCAATGAAGTAATTAATAGCAACAGTACAGACAAGCAAATTGTCAAATTTTCGATGCAACCTGCTCCTTTACCAAGACACAAATATAACACAAATTACATCACATACATAGAACATAAAACAAACACAAAGTTATAAATCTAAATCGAGAATGGTGGTGTAAATTTAGGTGTCTCGATAATCCCTTCTGTCGATAGACATCTAAGGCCCTTTATAGCGGACAGAAAACCATCCCAAGTTGTTGTATGTAAGATGGTGATTAAAATATAAAAATGTTTTGCATAAATCTAGATATGTTTTGCACTCTAGACACTGAATGTATATGTCTATATGTCCATATATATATATATATATATATAGTTAAATCATTATGTGCCTGTATGGATCAGATACATGATGTTTGTAAGCCGAGCTCCTCGGTGAGCATTGTAGAATAACCAACACCTTTATCATGCAAGGGACTTGTACAGTCTCTTGGGATAGGTCGCCGAAACTCTACGATAAATTCCAACGTTGATCGGGCTTTAGAAAATGTCAATAATACATTAATATGGCTGTATATTCAATCTTGTTTAATTAAACGTACGAGGCTTGAGACTGACGGTTCTTGTAATCTCATTGGTTGATGGCTCGTAAAAAAAGATAAGAACCATAGGGCTTGTATATCATATAACTAGAAAAACATGATCACCGTTCTTGTCTTTAATAGAAAACCTGATGTACCATGTGACATATCCCTTTACGAGGGATGCGTACATGTCCTCAGGATCATATCTCACACTGGTATCAGGATCTGTTCTCAATATCCTCCTACAAAACAGACATCTTCCCTCTGTACAGCACTCTGTTGTCAGACAGAACAGTCTTGATTTCACCACTATTAAGTCCCTGTCACATCTGGCAATGTCACATATTACAATAATTGATAAATGTCACACACTCAAGAGTACATGAATTCTCACAATATTCTACATAACATTTATAAGGGATGACAAGAAAATACGACTGTTCAAGTTAGTGTGTACTCAGGACAGTGATCTTGTTCAAGTTAGTGTGTACTCAGGATGTGACCTTGTTCAAGTTAGTGTGTACTCAGGACAGTGATCTTGTTCAAGTTAGTGTGTACTCAGGATGTGATCTTGTTCAAGTTAGTGTGTACTCAGGATGTGATCTTGTTCAAGTTAGTGTGTACTCAGGATGTGACCTTGTTCAAGTTAGTGTGTACTCAGGACGTGATCTTGTTCAAGTTAGTGTGTACTCAGGACAGTGATCTTGTTCAAGTTAGTGTGTACTCAGGATGTGACCTTGTTCAAGTTGGTGTGTACTCAGGACAGTGATCTTGTTCAAGTTAGTGTGTACTCAGGATGTGACCTTGTTCAAGTTAGTGTGTACTCAGGATGTGACCTTGTTCAAGTTAGTGTGTACTCAGGATGTGATCTTGTTCAAGTTAGTGTGTACTCAGGATGTGATCTTGTTCAAGTTAGTGTGTACTCAGGACAGTGATTTTGTTCAAGTTAGTGTGTACTCAGGACGGGATCTTGTTCAAGTTAGTGTGTACTCAGGATGTGATCTTGTTCAAGTTGGTGTGTACTCAGGACAGTGATCTTGTTCAAGTTAGTGTGTACTCAGGACAGTGATCTTGTTCAAGTTAGTGTGTACTCAGGACATGATCTTGTTCAAGTTAGTGTGTACTCAGGACATGATCTTGTTCAAGTTAGTGTGTACTCAGGACAGTGATCTTGTTCAAGTTAGTGTGTACTCAGGACAGTGATCTTGTTCAAGTTAGTGTGTACTCAGGACGTGATCTTGTTCAAGTTAGACGTGACTAGTACAGTGAACCAATATTTACCATATAACATGAAAGTCATGTGATTTGTAACAAAACATTCTGAGTAATGAAAAAATCCGGTAGGGAGTTTTTTTTACTGATTTGACAAAAAGGTTTTAAGCCATGCTAAACTGAATCAGAACATACGACAGAAATGTCTAGAGTTAGATCATTGATGACAAGGGAAGTCTGACATTCATCTTGGAATGCTGTACATTTTGTACAAGTCTACCTAATCACCATTATTTTTTACACAAGAGAATATTGTCAGGTCCTTGTTGTAGAGAAACAGCATGCTGATAAAGAATGACAGCAGGCCAGGACTAACAATGATGTGAACTGTACAATCCATTACACCAGGCTTCAGGGTACACAATTTATAACAACAAAAAAATACATGGATTTCTCATGACGTTTTTATCAATCACACTAACAGCTCATGCAAGTATTTAGATAAAATTGATTTTCTTTTGTCATAAATCGAGCTGGTAGGTAAAGCGTAGAGATTCAAAAAAACTACATGCATATTTATGGAAGTATTTCAAAATTCATCTACAAAATTAGTGTTTCAGTAAAGAGCTTTTAAGAAGGGGTCATCTACCATAGGCAAATCATTAAAAATAAAATTGTTAATTCTTAGTTATAGTCAAACCTCACTATTCAGACCACCCAAGGGACCAGTGTTGTAGGGTCAGAGTAATCCAGGCGACCTCTATTTGTCCTTGAATGACAACCCCCTAATTATCTGATGACCTCTATCTATCCTTGAATGACAACCCCTTAATTATCTGATGACCTCTATTTGTCCTTGAATGACAACTCCCTAATTATCTAATGACCTCTATTTTTCCTTGAATTTTCTATATTTTGTCCTTGGACAACAACCACTAAATACCTGATGACCTCTGTTTGTCTTTGAATTTTCTATATTTTGTCCTTGGACAACAACCACTAAATACCTGATGACCTCTGTTTGTCTTTGAATTTTCTATACCTTGGTATTTGGCCTTGGACAACAACCACTAAATACCTGATGACCTCTGTTTGTCTTTGAATTTTCTATATTTTGTCCTTGGACAACAACCACTAAATACCTGATGACCTCTGTTTGTCCTTGAATTTTCTATATTTTGTCCTTGGACAACAACCACTAAATACCTGATGACCTCTGTTTGTCCTTGAATTTTCTATATTTTGTCCTTGGACAACAATCACTAAATACCTGATGACCTCTGTTTGTCCTTGAATTTTCTATATTTTGTCCTTGGACAACAACCACTAAATACCTGATGACCTCTATTTTTCCTTGAATTTTCTATATTTTGTCCTTGGACAACAACCACTAAATACCTGATGACCTCTGTTTGTCCTTGAATTTTCTATATTTTGTCCTTGGACAACAACCACTAAATACCTGATGACCTCTGTTTGTCCTTGAATTTTCTATATTTTGTCCTTGGACAACAACCACTAAATACCTGATGACCTCTGTTTGTCCTTGAATTTTCTATATTTTGTCCTTGGACAACAATCACTAAATACCTGATGACCTCTGTTTGTCCTTGAATTTTCTATATTTTGTCCTTGGACAACAATCACTAAATACCTGATGACCTCTGTTTGTCCTTGAATTTTCTATATTTTGTCCTTGGACAACAACCACTAAATACCTGATGACCTCTGTTTGTCTTTGAATGGCTTCTATTTTGTCTGACAATCTCTACTTGTCGTTGAGCAACAACCTCTCCAGTTGTGATACAGCTTTTAACTGCCTCTCCAACATCTGAGGGCTCTTTATATAGCCTACTTATACAAACAAAAGTCCAAACTTCTGTTTACATCTTACTTCATCAAAACTGAACTATACCACTTCATGTACTTTATTCAATATCTGGAAGATCTTTTAGAATTATTGGAGAATTCTTGACCACTTTTATCAAGCACCATCTAAATTGTTTGACCGATTGAAGACATCAAGAAGGATACAATGATTTACTGTTGACAAGGGCTGTATCAATATGGACAGGACAGCATCTAAATCCTGTTTTATCCCAGAATGTCCAGTCTGTCTGTCTGCATAAGCAAAACCGCCTCTAGCACAAAAATATCGACATATATCCTGGGAGATTGTATCTCCTCCATGAAGTTTGTTCTAGTAAGAACATTTCGGAAGCTAAAAACACTGATATAACAACAATTAGGCTGAGTAAGTAAAGCCTCCGTTCTCCTGGTGTTCACTAAAACAAACCTGTAAGCTATATCATACAACATTGCTAATCACACATTTTTCGTGAGGGATTTATTTACATTTAAATGCATTGGGAGAGTCAATTGTGAATTGAAATCCCTTGTGAATTCTTTGAATGAGCAGATTGCATCAATTCTGATTTGGTCACCAATATCACAGTCCTGAAGTGTCCTGTAATAGCTCAACATTTGCAAATCTATAGTAATTTCTTGATCAGCATTTGTGAAATCATATATGTGAATATGTCTGAAGAGATTAGTATTTGTGAAATCTAAGTGATGTATTACTATATATGGTATCACTTCCTACCTTGAGATAGTATACCAGCAGCTCGTTCATTGAGGGGTCAGCATTGAGGTTAACTAAATAATGGGTGCCTGTCTCCACCTTGATCCCCGAAGTCTGCACGGATACCCCCATCTTCTCAAGGGCCTCATGACGCTCCTAAAACAGCAAGGTGTGTTAGGGCAAATGTAAAACCTGCTGAAGAGGACTACAGTTAACACAATCAAATTAGAGGAATTACAGGTAAATTGTAATCAGAGGGAATTACAGGTAAAATGTTATCAGAGGGAATTACATGTAAAATGTTATCAGAGGGAATTACAGGTAAAATGTTATCAGGGGGAATTACAGGTAAAATGTTATCAGAGGGAATTACAGGTAAAATGTTATCAGAGGGAATTACAGGTAAAATGTTATCAGAGGGAATCTCAGGTAAAATGTTATCAGAGGGAATCTCAGGTAAAACATTATCAGAGGGAATTACAGGTAAAATGTTATCAGAGGGAATCTCAGGTAAAACATTATCAGATGGAATTACAGGTAAATGTTATCAAAGAGAATCTCAGGTAAAATGTTATCAGAGGGAATCTCAGGTAAAATGTTATCAGAGGGAATCTCAGGTAAAACATTATCAGAGGGAATAACAGGTAAATGTTATCAGAGGGAATTACAGGTAAAATATTATCAGAGGGAATCTCAGGTAAAATGTTATCAGAGGGAATTACAGGTAAAATATTATCAGAGGGAATTACAGGTAAAATGTTATCAGAGGGAATTACAGGTAAAATATTTTCAGAGGGAATTACAGGTAAAATGTTATCAGAGGGAATATCAGGTAAAATGTTATCAGAGGGAATTACAGGTAAAATATTATCAGAGGGAATTACAGGTAAAATGTTATCAGAGGGAATTACAGGTAAAATATTTTCAGAGGGAATTACAGGTAAAATGTTATCACGAGGGAATTACAGGTAAAATGTTATCAGAGGGAATTACAGGTAAAATATTATCAGAGGGAATTACAGGTAAAATGTTATCAGAGGGAATTACAGGTAAAATGTTATCAGAGGGAATTACAGGTAAAATGTTATCAGAGGGAATTACAGGTAAAATATTATCAGAGGGAATTACAGGTAAAATATTATCAGAGGGAATTACAGGTAAAATGTTATCAGAGGGAATATCAGGTAAAATGTTATCAGAGGGAATTACAGGTAAAATGTTATCAGAGGGAATTACTGGTAAAATGTTATCAGAGGGAATTACTGGTAAAATATTATCAGACGATTACATTTCATCATGTTATCTGTGAGGAAAATGCTTTCCTTACAATTACAAAGGGTTTAGAATCTGCCATAATGTGTGTAAATATGTTGTTTTTATTAATTCATAGATACATTTATAATTTACAAATTAGAAATCTTTTTACTAATACAAAGACAAATTGCCCAGAGGTCCTGTATCACTCACTTGGATCTTAATGATCAACAGTACTATATCTGTGCATATGTTCCACTTTTAACACATTTGACCCTTGTGACCTTGACTATGGGTCAAGGTCATTTCTTTTTGCAAACTTTCTTGGACTTCATAAAAGGAACATACTGGCCAAATATAATGATTCTAGGCTTTTCGATATTTCAGAAGAAACTGTTTAAACGTTTTATTACATTTGACACCTGTGACCTTGAATATGGGTCACGGTTATTTTTTTCCACAAACTCTGTTGGGCTTCATCAAAGGAACCTTCCAGCCATATATAATGATTCTAGGCCTTCCTGTATTTTGGAAGAAGTGGTTTAAAGGTTTTAACACATTTGACCTCTGTGACCTTGAATATGGGTCAAGGTCACTTCTTTTTGCAAATTTTGTTGGGCTTCATCAAAGGAACCTTCCAGCCAAATATGATAACTCTACTCCTTTCGGTATTTTAGAAGAAGTTGTTTAAATGAAAAGTTGACAGACACAGGACAGACGACGGCCAGATGAGCTAAAAAACGTTACTTTTTTTAAAGAAGAATGTATAAATAAGTCAAGCCTTTCTATAGCAGCAAATATCACTTATCTAAAATGGAGGGGGTGGGGGGAAATCTTGCACAGTTTTTATACTGTTTTCCAAAGTTCATTAACTGTAGTGGGTACAGAGTTGACCTAACTGATGAAATTCCTCGTCACCACAGTTTTGATGATTTAGTCACATTACCATTTCCTCTGTTTCCATGGATTCTAGAAAGAAGCTTTATTTCAATTGATTTTCTAATGAATTCTGACAGTAAATGTAATGACTGATAGCCAGTCTCTAATGTTACTAGGAAAACAGTAGAACAAGAGGCCTGTATTACTCACCTAACTTAGCTTGCTGAAATTGCTTCATTTCAACTAAAGGAAAAGTATTTAAAAGATTTGTATCTTTCCCTTTGAAGGGCCCACCCCTCTTCACAAAAGGAGGGTCAGATACACAGTTTATACCTAACTATAGTTCTCTTCACCTAATGATGCTTAAGATCAGTCCCTCTTGCCTACTGTTTATATAAAACTTCTTTCCATCCCTGAAGCTTGCCTAAGACCTAATTGAATCTAAATCAATAAACACCTACAGAACAGAAAGCATTTTAAAGAATTTGCTTTAATTCCCTTCTTGGGCCTTGCTTTTCCAGCCCCATGGGGCCAGGACCAATTGTTTTCGGAAAATTAATTCTTCCCCACCAAATGTTGCTTTAGATTAAATTAGGATAAAATCCTATCATTCCTATTGGAGGAGTAGATAATAAAAAAATTACAAAAAATTCTTTTGTGCCCCCATCCTTCAGGAATCAGGGAGCTGTGACCCGTCATTTACTTAAAAAAAACAACTTTTTAGATTTGTTTCATTGTAATTCCTTTGATGTTTAAGTTGTAAAATATATACTGTAGAATTTGATACTAAAGTAAGTAAAGATCACAACTAAAATTGCATGTTAACATAAAATACCTATTTCACATATTTTACCATAATTTACTCAAACTTCAACAAAATGAAAAAAAAACAAAGAATATATCTGTATTGTTTCAGTAAAAAAGAAAAACATCTATGTATTTCAGCCGCTTGAGAAATGTTATTTCCTTCTAGCTGATTAAGTTTTAACAAAATAAATCGCTTGAGCAGTTTTTAATTTACACAGAAGAATCAATGGCAATGTTGTCTGTACAACAGAAAGGCTGATACTGTCGTCTCCAGAGTGTTGGTATCTATGTGACCAGGAAATTGTTTATTTTTCAATCTATTGTAGACATTTCTGCAGTTGTCTGGAACTGGAACACTCAGCAATGCTAACAAAATCAATGTTGTAATCAATGATTTCTGGATTTAGAAAGTTTCTATAACAAAACTGATTCCAACATCTTCACTATCTTAACCAAATCATTTTCATTATCTTAACAAAACCAATTTCAGTATCTAACCAGACCATGACTAGTATCTAACCAGACCATGACTAGTATCTAACCAGACCATGACTAGTATCTTACCAGACCATGACTAGTATCTAACCAGACCATGACTAGTATCTTACCAGACCATGAGTAGTATCTTACCAGACCATGACTAGTATCTAACCAGACCATGACTAGTATCTTACCAGACCATGACTAGTATCTAACCAGACCATGACTAGTATCTTACCAGACCATGACTAGTATCTTACCAGACCATGACTAGTATCTTACCAGACCATGACTAGTATCTTACCAGACCATGACTAGTATCTTACCAGACCATGACTAGTATCTAACCAGACCATGACTAGTATCTTACCAGACCACGAGTAGTATCTAACCAGACCATGACTAGTATCTAACCAGATCATGACTAGTATCTAACCACACCATGACTAGTATCTTACCAGACCATGACTAGTGTCTTACCAGACCGTGACTAGTATCTAACCAGATCATGACTAGTATCTAACCAGACCATGACTAGTATCTAACCAGACCATGACTAGTATCTAACCAGACCATGAGTAGTATCTAACCAGACCATGACTGAAATCTTACCAGACCATGACTAGTATCTAACCAGACCATGACTAGTATCTTAACAGACCATGACTAGTATCTTAGCAGACCATGACTAGTATCTAACCAGACCATGACTAGTATTTTACAAGACCATGACTAGTATCTAACCAGACCATGACTAGTATCTAACCAGACCATGAGTAGTATCTAACCAGACCATGACTGAAATCTTACCAGACCATGACTAGTATCTAACCAGACCATGACTAGTATCTAACCAGACCATGACTAGTATCTTACCAGACCACGAGTAGTATCTAACCAGACCATGACTAGTATCTAACCAGATCATGACTAGTATCTAACCACACCATGACTAGTATCTTAACCAGACCATGACTAGTATCTAACCAGATCATGACTAGTATCTAACCAGACCATGACTAGTATCTAACCAGACCATGACTAGTATCTAACCAGACCATGAGTAGTATCTAACCAGACCATGACTGAAATCTTACCAGACCATGACTAGTATCTAACCAGACCATGACTAGTATCTTACCAGACCATGACTAGTATCTAACCAGACCATGACTAGTATCTAACCAGACCATGACTAGTATCTAACCAGACCATGACTAGTATCTAACCAGACCATGACTAGTATCTAACCAGACCATGACTAGTATCTAACCAGACCATGAGTAGTATCTAACCAGACCATGACTAGTACCAGACCATGAGTATCTTACCAGACCATGACTAGTATCTAACCAGACCATGACTAGTATTTTACAAGACCATGACTAGTATCTAACCAGACCATGACTAGTATCTAACCAGACCATGACTAGTATCTAACCAGACCATGACTAGTATCTTACCAGACCATGACTAGTATCTAACCAGACCATGACTAGTATCTAACCAGACCATGACTAGTATCTAACCAGACCATGACTAGTATCTTACCAGACCATGACTAGTATCTAACCAGACCATGACTAGTATCTAACCAGACCATGACTAGTATCTAACCAGACCGTGACTAGTATCTTACCAGACCGTGACTAGTATCTTACCAGACCATGAGTAGTATATAACCAGACCATGACTAGTATCTAACCAGACCATGACTAGTATCTTACCAGACCATGACTAGTATCTTACCAGACCATGACTAGTATCTAACCAGACCATGACTAGTATCTAACCAGACCATGACTAGTATCTTACCAGACCATGACTAGTATCTTACCAGACCATGACTAGTATCTTACCAGACCATGACTAGTATCTAACCATGACTAGTATCTAACCAGACCATGACTAGTATCTTACCAGACCATGACTAGTATCTTACCAGACCATGACTAGTATCTAACCAGACCATGACTAGTATCTAACCAGACCATGAGTAGTATCTAACCAGACCATGACTGAAATCTTACCAGACCATGACTAGTATCTAACCAGACCATGACTAGTATCTTAACAGACCATGACTGATCTTAGTATCTAGTATATAACCAGACCATGACTAGTATCTAACCAGACCATGACTAGTATCTAACCAGACCATGAGTAGTATCTAACCAGACCATGACTAGTATCTAACCAGACCATGACTAGTATCTAACCAGACCATGACTAGTATCTAACCAGACCATGACTAGTATCTTACCAGACCATGACTAGTATCTTACCAGACCGTGACTAGTATCTTACCAGACCATGAGTAGTATATAACCAGACCATGACTAGTATCTAACCAGACCATGACTAGTATCTAACCAGACCATGACTAGTATCTTACCAAACCATGAGTAGTATCTTACCAGATCAATTCCAGTACCTTTACTAAACTCATTTTGGTATATTTAAAACAGTTTCTTTCCCTGTAAGTTTGTGTTTATTGCCAATTCAGCCCTACATTAGCCTATATATCACCCCTCCTAAAAGCTAGCCTATATATCACCCCTCCTAAAAGCTAGCCTATATATCACCCCTCCTAAAAGCTATCAAAATTCCCTCAAATAAGTAACACACAAACCTGATGGATTCTCTCTGTTTCCGCCAGTTTTTCTTCCCATGTTTTTGTCTTCTGCTTGAATAGTTTTTCTGTCTCTTCCAGGCGATCTTGGAGATCTGGATCATTCTTGATGGCCTGTTCACATCATATAAAAATTATATTTGAAATTATAATCAGCAATATGTGGCGTCTAAAACAGTTCCAAATTAACTTTAGTGGGGCAGGTCGCATCACTTGAAAGGCATCAAGTCACATGTTTGTGATTTCATGTCTAACTTAACTACAAAGGCCATAGGCAGCTGACCTTTTTCTTTATAGAGGTTCTATAACTACACAATCATACCTGTCTGTTAATGCAACTGAAGGGAGCAGAAGAAGTGGCCTTTATAGACAGGTGACCACTTTATAGATGTACAATAACTTCACTATCAAATCTGTTTATAAAGGCCACTCAAGGAAGCAGAAAAAGTCGTCTTTTATAGACATGTAATCTTTTCTATAGAGGTACATTGACTACACAATCAAACCTGTCTATAAAGGCCACTCAAGGAAGCAGAAAAAGTGGTCTTTATAGACATGTAATCTTTTCTATAGAGGTACATTGACAACACAATCAAACCTGTCTATAAAGGCCACTCAAGGAAGCAGAAAAAGTGGTCTTTACAGAAAGATGACCTTAATAGAGAGGTTTAATATTTATACTTTGTATTATGCTGGAACCTTTATAGATAGGTTTTGTATGTTGAGCTGGCAGTTAGACAGGTTTTGCTTTTTATACATCAAAATAAAGATTGATCAGAAACAATGATTTCCACCTAACAATTACTGTAAAACAGAATATTAAACAATCATTTGACAGTAAACTAAAAATTCAAACTTAAAGAAAAAAATTCTTTAAAATTGAAAAAGAATTGCTCACCATCTGAACATTTTTAATACAATGACATAAAACATTTTTACCTCAGATTAATCTTTTTTATTTTATACATTGATTTCTCTGACTTATGTTACCATGGAAACAATATACCTGAGCAGACATCCCTCCTGTTTGCTGGGTAACTTACCGCCTGTTCCCCTTGTTCAGTAGACACAGAAGCTGTCTGTGCTACACTCAGCCTTTGTTTCAGTTGCTCAACCTCCTCGCGGAGTTCTCGAATTATTCGTGCATTGGGATCTTCATTGACAACAGCATGGTTAATAATTCGCTTGGCACGGTCGGCATATCTAAGTGTTGATAACGTCTCCTCGTAATTGTCAGCTGAGGGACTGATAGTAGCTATCATTACAGTTTTGCTGTTTCCACCTAAATTGTCCTAAATTAAAAAAAAATTAGACATCAAATCACAATTCAAAGTAAAAAAGATTTATAAATTTAACAAGATTTTGTTTTCCAATCATTTTGTTAGGAAATGAAATAAAGAGGGATAACTCTCATAAAAAATATATTCTGCATACTTGTAAAGGGAGACAACTCATCATTACCTATACACATTACAGTAAGAGCTTCATCAATTGCAGGTGAAGATTTTACCTTGAGTAACCATGTTAATACCGAGTCCCGGTATGGAACAAACTTGCTTTTTGCCTTGTTCTGGTCAGCAAGTGCTGAGATGACCAGCCCAAGTGTAGTCAGTGACCTACAAATATTGAATTGAAGACGATTAAAAAATTGGAAAGAAAATACAATTACCTATAACTTATTGAATACTTCTATCACAGATCATAAGAAATGCAAAATTTTGAGAGAAAAAAAAAGAAAACTATAACAAGAATAAGTTTAAATTCATCTACAGATGTAAATCATTTCCTTTATTTTAATCATCAGGTCATGTGATCTGCATTACCAGGTCATCAGGTCATGTGATCTGTACCACCTTATCATCAGGTCATATGATTAGTGTACTGATTGGCCATCAGGTCATGTGATCTGTACCACCTTATCATCAGGTCATATGATTAGTGTACTGATTGGCCATCAGGTCATGTGATCTGTACCACCTTATCATCAGGTCATATGATTAGTGTACTGATTGGCCATCAGGTCATGTGATCTGTACCACCTTATCATCAGGTCATATGATTAGTGTACTGATTGGCCATCAGGTCATGTGATCTGTACCACCTTATCATCAGGTCATATGATTAGTGTACTGATTGGCCATCAGGTCATGTGATCTGTACCACCTTATCATCAGGTCATATGATTAGTGTACTGATTGGCCATCAGGTCATGTGATCTGTACCACCTTATCATCAGGTCATATGATTAGTGTACTGATTGGCCATCAGGTCATGTGATCTGTACCACCTTATCATCAGGTCATATGATTAGTGTACTGATTGGCCATCAGGTCATGTGATCTGTACCACCTTATCATCAGGTCATATGATAAGTGTACTGATTGGCCATCAGGTCATGTGATCTGTACCACATCATCATCAGGGCATGTTATCTGTACCACATCATCAGGTCATGTGATCTGTACCACCTGATAATTAGGTCATGTGATCTGTACCACCTGATAATTAGGTCATGTGATCTGTACCACCTGATAATTAGGTCATGTGATCTGTACCACCTGATAATTAGGTCATGTGATCTGTACCACCTGATAATTAGGTCATGTGATCTGTACCACCTGATAATTAGGTCATGTGATCTGTACCACCTGGTTGTCAGTGTGACTTACTTGTTAATGTTGCTTCCCTCCCGTAATCTGTCTCCCATAGCTCCAGTCTTTTGGACACGCTCACTTCCTGCCAAGTCCACCAGACTAAGTTTACTAACCTTCTCACCAGTCAACTGTAAATACAAAAAGTTTCTTAATATGAGTATCATGATACACATGATTTACAGACTCCATCAGTTCTATCTTGTTACTATGGGAACAGTGATACACCTACACAATGTACTGAGTCCCATCAGCCTTATTTTGTTACTATGGGAACAGTGATACACCTACACAATGTACAGACTCCCATGAGTTTTATTTTGTTACTATGAGAACAGTGATACACCTACACAATGTACTGACTCCATCAGTTTTATCTTGTTACTATGGGAACAGTGATACACCTACACAATGTACAGACTCCCATCAGCCTTATTTTGTTACTATGGGAACAGTGATACACCTACACAATGTACTGACTCCATCAGTTTTATTTTGTTACTATGGGAACAGTGATACACCTACACAATGTACTGACTCTCATCAGCCTTATTTTGTTACTATGGGAACAGTGATACACCTACACAATGTACTGACTCCATCAGTTTTATCTTGTTACTATGGGAACATTGATACACCTACACAATGTACAGACTCCCATGAGTTTTATTTTGTTACTATGGGAACAGTGATACACCTACACAATGTACTGACTCCATCAGTTTTATCTTGTTACTATGGGAACATTGATACACCTACACAATGTACAGACTCCCATGAGTTTTATTTTGTTACTATGGGAACAGTGATACACCTACACAATGTACAGACTCCCATGAGTTTTATTTTGTTACTATGGGAACAGTGATACACCTACACAATGTACAGACTCCCATGAGTTTTATTTTGTTACTATGGGAACAGTGATACACCTACACAATATACTGACTCCATCAGTTTTATTTTGTTACTATGGGAACAGTGATACACCTACACAATGTACTGACTCTCATCAGCCTTATCTTGTTACTATGGGAACAGTGGTACACCTACACAATGTACAGACTCCATCAGTTTTATTTTGTTACTATGGGAACAGTGATACACCTACACAATGTACTGAGTCCCATCAGCCTTATCTTGTTACTATGGGAACAGTGGTTCAATATACTTACATGATGTACAGACCCCCAATTGGACTATTTTTGTTATGTCTTATATATTGACATCCCTCCAAGATTTGCAGACCCCCAGCAATGTGGATTAGTAACCAGAGATACTAGAAAAGGGTGTGGTACAACAGAACAGTGGGTTGGGGTAGGCCACAAGTGAAGATCTCATTAGCATATCTGATATTGGTGTTATGTTACAATACTCTACATCTGTTTTTTACCATCATCACTGTAGGGTACAAACCAGCACAGTCAAACAAAAATACTTCACTCAAAAAAAAGAGGATTAAATTGTTTTAGAAATTCAACTCGAGAATAAAATATTTGTAAACATGAATGTGTTTTCCACTATAAGGAAATTAAACCATAGAGTCAAGTGTTTGAGAGGTTCTAGATCTAGAAATTTTCCAAGGCGGGCATTACTGTGCATCTTGACAGACCTGCTGAGCTTCACATCATTAGGGATCACCATGGTAACCATATGGGGACAACAGTATGCCCCGGTAAAAAGTGTTTTCTTTTTTTGTGTGTGTGGTGGGTGCCTTTAAATTCTAATATTTTCAAAGTAAAGAAAAATCAGTTGATTTGTTCCACAATGAGACAGCACTTTAGAAATTAATTTTAATTCCACTCGAGAGAACATGTTGCCTGTCCCCTGCTGTGGCTGTTTAATACTTAACATGAGGTAGAGTACTTCTACTATCAGTCTATTCACCACTGTGTTTGTCCTGATAGCACCCCCTCATTCTGATAAAACACCATCATTCTGATAACACCCTCTCTCCCTGTAGGTAGCAAACCACTATCTTTAACATGTGTTCTACAAGGTGAAAAACACCGTTTTTTTAATCTCCAAATGATACGATAATTTCATGGTGTCAAAATTGAATTATGTTTGGTTTTCCTCTTTATAACTTACAGAATATATATTATAATTAAGTCATGAATATAAAATAATGAAGTTTTAGTTTTCCATTTGTTTTGGTCCAGAAAATACAAAAGTTGACTCAAAAGGATACGTAATTTGTTTGCAAATACTGGTAATTCTATCATATTAAAAAGAGACTCTTGAATTGTCTTCTTCAAAAACCAAAATGATTGAAACAGATACAAAGGTACTTCCACTATAGAAATACAACTATGAAGTTTCCCTGTAAGTCCCAAAGGTTAATACCAACTTCTTATAATACTTATTTGTACAAAGGAAACACTTGATATATCTTAATTCTAGCCTATCTATCATATTTCCTCATTTCTTATCAAAGACGTGTATATTTAAATGTTAAACCCAGTTGTAATCACCAAGAGATCTAACAAGACGTGCCACTTTGTGACAGAATTTCTTCTATAACCTCCAAATCTCCCTACACTCAGAGCTTTACGGCAACAGATATCAAACGTCAGTCCATCAGAAGTCCAGCCATCAGAACATTCACATTCCGTGTATTATCAGACTTAGAAGGTTTTTTTTGATGTTCTAACACACGATAAGGCCTTGAAATATCAATACTACATATCTAGTTCCATTCATGTAAGTCTGTCCCTCTAAAGCTCCCTTATGTATGTATAGTATCAATCATTTACAACATTATGTCTGTCCCTCTAAAGCTCCCTTATGTATGTATAGTATCAATCATTTACAACATGATGTCTGTCCCTCTAAAGCTCCCTTATGTATGTATAGTATCAATCATTTACAACATTATGTCTGTCCCTCTAAAGCTCCCTTATGTATGTATAGTATCAATCATTTACAACATTATGTCTGTCCCTCTAAAGCTCCCTTATGTATGTATAGTATCAATCATTTACAACATTATGTCTGTCCCTCTAAAGCTCCCTTATGTATGTATAGTATCAATCATTTACAACATTATGTCTGTTCCTCTAAAGCTCCCTTATGTATAGTATCAATCATTTACAACATTATGTCTGTCCCTCTAAAGCTCCCTTATGTATAGTATCAATCATTTACAACATTATGTCTGTCCCTCTAAAGCTCCCTTATGTATAGTATCAATCATTTACAACATTATATCTGTCCCTCTAAAGCTCCCTTATGTAGTTGATGTCATGTCGATAAGACCATGTCCTACATATCTATATAAACGTTATTATCACTATCAGTATATATAGATGATGTCATGTCGATAAGACCATGTCCTACATATCTATATAAACGTTATTATCACTATCAGTATATATAGATGATGTCATGTCGATAAGACCATGTCCTACATATCTATATAAACGTTATTATCACTATCAGTATATATAGATGATGTCATGTCGATAAGACCATGTCCTACATATCTATATAAACGTTATTATCACTATCAGTATATATAGAATCTAGTATATCCACGATGTCCATTGTAACAACACACGTTGTGAGATGCATATTACAGGAACAGAAACAAGATCAAGATAATAAAGACAGTACAGACAAGTAAATTGTCAAATGTTAAGGCAATAACCATCTATTTATGAAAGCAAGAATGAAAGTCTTCTAAATTTTAAACATTATTTCTTAGCAGTCTTGTCTTGTGGATCATTTCAGCAGGTTTTGTTATTTCTTTAGATAAACATTATTTAATTTTTATCTGATAAACAAATTTAAACACCACATAAATGTGAAATTTGAATTAGCTATAATAAGAGTTGCAACTCTCCAGCAGGGTCTGAGACCTCTGTTATATATATTTACAGATATATATGTTTTCAATGGCACTGTTCTTCAGCTGATAAAACAAATTGTTAAAATTTTGTCTAATAAAAACCATGGAGTGTTAGCTACAGAAACAGTAAATAGGTTTGTACTCCATGGCCATGTACCAGACCAACAAGGGCACCTGTTTATGTCTTTCACATTGTAAAGTAACACAAATCGACAAGGATAAGAAAGAGGTCATTGTTTAAAAAGTTCTCTTTAAAAAAAAAAAAATATATGGTTACTCCTAGTGAAAACTCTTTTGTTGCTCGGCACCATAAAGGCAGGTTTTACATTCCAAAATTATATTTTATAATATTCTACATTACAATTTGTCTAAATACAGAATCTCTGGAATTCTAGTAATGACATACTGGAATGGTCGTAGCCAAATCCTAACTCACATTTCAATGACTGATTCTAGGGTAAGTTTAACAAGTAATGGTTTACAATATGTCTTTTAGCAGAATCCTACTTCCTGGGGAAACTTAATCTAACCATAATTTTTACAAACACAGTTTCACTCCAGTGATATGAAATTCCCACATTCTGGTTTCTCTTTATGAGGCTAATATCCTATACATGACAGTCACAGCCCTCACTAGGCTTAAAAAAACCACAACAAAATTCACAAAATAATATACAACTTAATTGGATTAGTTTTTAGTCAATGTCAATTTTTTTTGCTTTAACAGAATTACTTTCAATCAAAACTAGACATAATAGTCTGAATTTCCACGATTCTAAAGTAATGTATTGAATGAATGGATCTGTTGGCTCACCAAACTAGTGTTATCACACAGAATCTAGTGTTATCATACAGAAACTAGTTTTGGTTTAAACAATATTTTATTTTCAGATTTTCATTTACAACATACACATACACAAATTATAAAATTGAAAATGGATCTGGCAACAAGATTATAAATCTTATATTAAGCCATCTCCAAAATGGAGACTAGGAAACTAGTGTTATCATACAGAAACTAGCGTTATCCAACGGACTCTAGTGTTATCACATAGAAACTTGTGTTATCACACAGAAACTAGTGTTATCACATAGAAACTAGTGTTATCATACAGAAACTAGTGTTATCACATAGAAACTAGTGTTATCATACAGAAACTAGTGTTATCACATAGAAACTAGTGTTATCATACAGAAACTAGCAACAAACACACTTAAACTAATTATACGAGAAATGATACTTGGTGCCTTCAGAGTGATATAATGTATCATTTCTGACAATAAGAGATCACAGAGGAATCTTGTTTGATCTTTATATGTTTTTCTCTTCTTTTCTCTGTTTTTGCTCTTATTAATAAGACTTTTGCAGAAATAGCAATGATAATCTTTACCTGCCAAATCCAAAATGGCCATATGGAACCAATTTTGTTTCTTATGAACAGTCCCAAACTCAAATAGGCACAATAATGGACAGGAACCTATACATATGAAATTTGAGAAAGATCTACAGAGTAGTTCTCAAGAAATAGTGATAACAAACTTTTGAAGTCAAAATCCAAGATGGCCACTTGTGGACCATTTTATTTTTTCTGATCATATCCAAAACCAAACAGGCACAACTAGGGATTAAGGAAAGCATACACATGAAATTTGAGAAATATCTATGCTGTAGTTCTCAAGAAATTGCAATAACAAACTTCCAAAGTCAAATCTGTTGGCTATTTTGTTTTTCTGACCAGACATAAAATCAAATTGGCACATCTAATGATTAAGGAGAATCTACATATGAAATTTGAGAGATCCATCTCTTACATTTCAAGAAATAGTATTAACAATCGAAGATGGCTGCCTGTTGACCATTTTGTTTTTCAAATCAATCCAAAAATCAAACAGGCACAACTGTGGACCAAAGGGAACCTACATATGCAATTTCAGAAAGATCCATTAAGTTCTTCTCAAGAAATAGTGATAACAAAAATTGTTCACAGGTGGACGGAAGACGGATTGACAGACGAACAGACAGATCATGGACGCAGAGTGATTTGAGTAGCCCAATCAGTTTGCGGGCTAACAAAAAAAAACTCATTACTAAGTATCCTTTCTATATCAGCTTCTATGATCATGATAACATTAACGGAACTCCAATGAACAAAAAATATATTTACATATAAAAAGATCTTTGTGAATTTCTGCTTTTGATATTTATTCCTAACATTTTATTTCTGATGATTCAAATTGATATACAGTTGGCTTGTCATCATTTGCTGCCAATCTGAGCATCTTTAAACATTGTTTGACAAATCTATATATTTACTTCTTCATCCATGTCTATAATGCCAACAATCACTGAATTTCATCTACTGTGGAAAAAGTGTGGTACACTGTTTAACACAGAGGAGTTCCACACAAACTTTTCAAAGAGTTAAAACGGAAATTCTATAAAGACTAAAGAGATATCTGTCATGTGTGTGATTTGAAGTGATAAGATCAAATCCTTACGAATACTTTCAGTGACTCATCCTTTTAGTTAAATAACACAGACTATGTAACATAGAGGGGGTGCATACAACTCCCCATCTCCCTTGATTAAAACGAGGGAGTGGGACTTAAATACGGGAGTCAATTAAAAAACAAGGAGAAAACACAACAGTCCAGGGAGAAAGTCAGGGGTAGTCCTAGGGGTAAACACAACAGTCCAGGGAGAAGGGGAGGGGTAGTCCTCGGGGTAAACACAACAGTCCAGGGAGAAGGGGAGGGGTAGTCTGGGGGAAAACACAGCAGTCCAGGGAGAAGGAAAGGGGCAGTCCTGGGGGTAAACACAGCAGTCAAGTGTGAAGGGGAGGGGTAGTCCTGAGGGTAAACACAGCAGTCCAAGGAGAAGGGGAGGGGTAGTCCTGGGGGTAAAAACAACAGTCCAGGGAGAAGGGGAGGGGTAGCCCTGGGAGTAAACAGAGCAGTCCAGGGAGAAGGGGAGGGGTAGTCCTGGGGGTTAACACAGCAGCCAAAGACAAAAAAAGTAGAAAGGAGGGGTCTTGTTACCACATTCCAAATGTCAAGAAAGATGGGGGTTGGGGTTAAACGCATCAACCAATTAAAAAGTGGGTTAGGGGGTATTCACAGTAGCTAATTTTAACAGGGGGTGAGGTGGGATGGGGTTTGGAGGTATAAATTCATCAGCGATTCAAAACAGGGGGATGAGAGGGTAAACACATCAGCTAATTTTAACAGGAGGTGGGGTTGGTTGGGGTGGGTTGAGGTTGGTGGTTATAAACACATCAACCAATCAAAACAGGGGGGTGAGGGGGTAAACACATCAGCTGATTTTAACAGGGGGTAAGGCGGGCTGGGGTTTGGAGGTATAAACACATCAATTGATCAAAGCTCGGGGTGAGGGGGTAAACACAGTAACCATTTAAACAGGGAGGGGTAAACACAACAGCCGATTAAAACAGGGAGGGGGCACACATAGCAACCGATTAAAAGCGGGAGAGATAGTAAGTACAGCTGATTACAAGCAGGAGGGGACAAGAGCATCAGGACTCAGGAAAGTTTGAAAGAGTGGAACACTTTTAACGTGATAACCTCGGGAGGCAGTTGGCTGGTGCCTGAAGGCAGCTCCCTCACTTGGAGATACCAGTTGTCAGTCAGTGCTAGAGTCATGAGTCACAACGCTGTCTCTGTCAGAATAGACGGACATCTTCTAACTTCAGACACGAACAGTAGGAAACCATTATAGTAGTTTTAGAAAATCATTTTCCATGGAAAGCTGTGAAGGATAATATGATTCTTGATTTTTTCTATTGTGTGATGTTGTGTGGGACAATCCTTATAGTTCTGGATATATCTTACAAACATTATCTCCACCTTGAGTTATAAATACTTTATCGGTTTGTATCAGAAGTACCATCAAAGGTACCAGCATGTCAATTATGTAAAAAGTGCTGATGAGTGAAGAAAATTCTCCTGTACCAAAATATCACGCATTGAAACCAATAAGATAAGTAGTCAGTAAGTGGAAACTACTACTATGGAAGTAAATGATGAGATTTCTTATCAACAATGATTTGTGGAACAAAACTAATTACTGGTGATAATGAAATACATTTAATTAGAGACAAGAACACAAACATGGGGTGAACTGCGTAAAGAATATTTCAGAAGAGGAATAAAAAAAGCCTGACAGCTGTATTCTTTAATTATTCTATTCTATGGAAGGATTTGTATTTATTCATCATGGCGTATGATTTTACGTTTTGTACTTTTCGTTCATAACACTGAAACTGCCAACAGTTTCTGACAGTTAAAGACAACAATTCTACTGCTAGTATTACAATGCTATATGGAGGTTCAAAAGATACCATGTTATGTGAGAAGAGAAATTGATATGAAACTGGTGAGAAAGTTGAAATGGAAATTTCTGACAGGAAATGCCTGAAGATCAGAAATATAGAAAAAAGTTGTGAGTATATATAACATTAATTACAAACATTCAACTGATCTACTGTAATATGACATTTACATCAACAGAACTGTTACCTTCGTGATGTAATGGACAATTGTATATAACAATTCCCTTCTCCTGACAGTTGGAGCATTAATGTTAAAAGTGATGATTAAACACTTGGTGACAGACAAACATTAAGTTAGAAGTTCTGACATACAGGAAATGGCCTGTAAGATTCCAGGACTATTTTCAATAATAGATGTACAGATACAAGTAATAAATCTATGACAAGGAGAAAAGATTGACAGCGCAAATTAAAATGTTTTGACCTCTGGTCATTTTGAGGTCATTTATTTGTTGATCATTGACTATGGTCACAGATAGTATTGACTTGGGTGGTGTGAAAAATAATGTCAGATTGTTATCTTTACCTGTGCATGTCATCAGGACCAGCGACCACCTCTGACCCTTACTACAGTCACATGTGCGATCAGCCATGGCAACAAGACAAAGGAGTGCTACAGTTGAGTGATGGACCGTGGTCACGCTTCATTAGAGATCTATTTCAAGCATGATTTGCTGATCACTGAGGACGTCATTCATTGTTACCCCAGCACAGGTTAATGCAATGAGCAATCTTTAAATGAGTGAAACTTTCCTTCACATTTTGTGAAACGTTTCTGAGCAAGCATGTGATTTTTGTACAACAGACAGGATTCCTGAAAATCTTAATCTGGATTTATCAATGGTTACATCTATAATTGTGCTAAAATGTGATTTGTGACAAAAGAACTTTCATACTTAGCCAATATAGTTACTTTATGTTCAGATTTTCTTGTAATACACATAAAAACCTGTTAACAGGATAAGTAACTTTGAAAACTGAGATACAACAGTTATCTCCCCTTAGATTTTAAGCCTATGACTTGAATTAAACATGACCAAACTAAAGAAAAGATGGATACCTTTCGTTGAGGATTTCACCAGATTTGTGCCAATTTTAACGCTCTTGCTGCAAGTGTTTGGAGACTCTCTAGCTTCTACAACAGCAAGGACCCCTATTCAAAAACCACCATCACAAAACTACAAAGGACAAGGTTCATGGCAACGAAGGTCATCTCAACAGTATCCCCCATACCAGCAGCGTAAAAATGATGGAAATTCCAACAGGAATCAGGACATTCCTTGGGAACAGGAACAGTTACTACCAATGCCGGGATACCAAGGTCATAACCAAGGTCAATCTCCACAGTCATTCATGAAATTCTACCCAGATGCTCTGGAGAAGAGACTATCTTCTGACCACAACAATCAAGGTATCAAACTGAGGTTTTATTTAATCATACAATAATCTGGAAGTTTCTTCCAAATAAATCAACTCATTAAAAACCTTTTTTCTCCTCCATTAAATACTGACTAGACTATCAAATAGATAGGCTAAGACTTAGATAATTCAACTTTAGAAAGACAGAAATATATATAAATGTTAGTTAATTACATAACATAATCTCTTCAGACTAAACTGATTAATAAATGAATAATTATTTATTTTCATCACTTTTACTTAAAACTGTACTGGAACTGAACTATTTGTGTTTCCTTTTCTAATCCTTTTAACACAGCTATGTCCCTTTAACAGATTCCCATGACAAGGAGTGTATACAAGAGCAATTAAATTGTCTCCTCATTTTTATGTACTTTTAGATTTGAGAATATTGTAATATGTGTCGTGAAGAATGCCTAATGAAAAGACAAACTGGTGAACTTATATCACTGTGTTAGCTCTACACCAACCTTACTTGACTTTTGTATTCAAGTAATATTTAAACTAAACTGCTTTCATATTATGAAGTGATCAAATATTATTACAATATAATAATGGTATACAAGACCAAATAAATACGATTACAATGAAATAAACTGACTTTATCAATTTTCCAGGATTTCTAAAATTCTAGTCTCGGTTTTCCTTTGTTTTCTTCACATAAAACTAATCAAGTGAATCCATTTCCATTCCTTGATAACGTCTACATGCCGTATCAACAAAATAAAGTTAAAAAGAAACAGGGGTCATGTACACTGTTGTAAAAACAGTAAATAGGAGAAGTGCCAAGAGTGAACAGATTAAACAGTGCACACACAAGTTAGTATAAGTGGTATGGATGGCTTCAAATCCTGTTACCATATGTTCACCAAAAATCTACAAAATTAATATCGACAGAAAATCATCATATCATGTGTCTCACTTGGATAGGCATAAAACCGTCTAAAGTCGGGGCGGGGGCTCTGATGGTCTAAAGTCAGGGTGGGGTGAGAGCGGGGGCTCTGATGGTCTAAAGTCAGGGTGGGGGTGGGGACTCTGATGGTCTAAAGTCAGGGTGGGGTGAGGGCAAGGGCTCTGATGGTCTAAAGTCAGGGTAGGGTGAGGGCGGGGGCTCTGATGGTCTAAAGTCAGGGTGAGGGCGGGGGCTCTGATGGTCTAAAGTCAGGGTGGGGGCTCTGATGGTCTAAAGTCAGGGTGGTGGTGGGGGCTCTGATGGTCTAAAGTCAGGGTGAGGGCGGGGGCTCTGATGGTCTAAAGTCAGGGTGAGGGTGGGGGCTCTGATGGTCTTAAGTCAGGGTGGGGTGAGGGCAAGGGCTCTGATGGTCTAAAGTCAGGGTGCTGGTGGGGGCCCTGATGGTCTTAAGTCAGGGTGGAGGTGGGGGCTCTGATGGTCTAAAGTCAAGGTGGGATGGAGAGGAGGGGGCTCTGATGTTCTAAAGTCAGGGTGGGGGTGGGGGCTCTGATTGTCTAAAGTCAGGTTGGGGTTATTGGGATTAGGGTCGCTGAACATGGTATAAATTATAAATCCATTCAGCGTTCTCACAAATATTGTATTTTAAGCTTGTACCTACAGCTTTAACAAACTGCTAACCTCCCTGAAACTTTATATTCTATAAAATGTATGAATGTAACTTAGTCTTCCTTGAATTCTTGTGGAAGGCTTAATCTACAGCTGTCAGATAGATTCTGACACTTCCTGAATACCTCACTGTAACCCTCTCCATCCTCACAATTTATAGCCTCTCTTCCAGTCATTTCATACATTCCAGGCCTTCACTTTACTATCTTTTTCAGATTCTATTTTGCCAAATTTACTTCTTAGTTCAAGTGTAAAGATCAACTAATTCAGAAAAAGCATTTTTCCGTTAAGTTAAATCTTACATACAATATACATGTATTCTAATGTCTCCAACATTTCTAAATCTATAACAATTTTATTTTCTAACTCATCAGAAATTATCGATGAAGTTGTTATAGAGTGATCTGATCACACATAAAGAAACCTCCTGCATTGATGTTTTAAAATTCAGTCTGTGGTAGAGCAATCCTGAATACAAGTTGAGGTCATTCTTAACAGAAAATATAGGATTAAAATGATGTCTTTTCATGATAAAGAGTTATCTTCTCTTGCGAGTAGGTATTCATTGTTATATCATAAATTTGTTAGAAAATATAAACTAATAACGAAAAATCTGCTCATAAGAGCAGATAACTCTGCATTACAAAGACTGAATACATACTTATATGTAATTGTAAAATTCCATGTACCTATACAGTAACATCATGTGTAGAGAAATAAATTGAACAATAAAAATCCTGTAGGTGTAAATTTTTGTTTATAACTAAGGTGTGATCTGTCCCATCGATACACCTGTGTTGACGAGCCTCAGGTGTTATAGACAGACCAGTGATTACATCAAACCTCCAGGCAATCAATCTAATTAATGATCCCGTAACTAGATTTGAAGGATTGTATTTTTATACTTTTATAGTGATGGAATACCTTCACTAAAAGTAAATCTACAAAAAAAATTATATATCACAATCACCCACTATTAAAATCTTGTGTTTTCAATTTTATCAAAATAAAAAATAACATGTTTTATACTTTGAGAAATATGTCTAAACACCGACTATATTATAATAATTTTCACTTTCTGTTTAAATGTGAATCCACCCTCTATACTAACTATATTGTAGTAATTTTCACTGTCTGTTTAAATGTGAATCCACCCTATATACTAACTATATTGTAGTAATTTTCACTGTCTGTTTAAATGTGAATCCACCCTCTATACTAACTATATTGTAGTAATTTTCACTGTCTGTTTAAATGTGAATCCACCCTCTATACTAACTATACTGCAGTAATTTTCACTTTCTGTTTAAATGTGAATCCACCCTATATACTAACTATATTGTAGTAATTTTCACTGTCTGTTTAAATGTGATTCCACCCTATATACTTGTTCATACCAATTCTGTATATTACATCTGTTACAGGTGTACAACCTCCATCAGTAAATAGTAACCTGGACGTTGATGCCATCCGAAAGGAAATGAACAACAAAGATTTAAGTCTACGAGAGACGCAACATAACCCAGACAGTAAATCCCAAACACAACAGGGAGATAACTCCATAAGAAATCAAACAGCTTGGAACAGTGACCGACCTAATCAGGGCAGAAGAGGTCCAGCTACAGCACCTCCCTACTGGTATGATGGTCCCTATAGAGGGCGGCCACGACCCCCATACAGAGGCAGGGGAGACCCAAGGCCTTATCCTGATCAACAATATGCCAGACAAAGATTCAGGCCTCCAACTTATCCCCCTCCTACGTATCCTCCTCCTAAGCGTCAAGGAGGGCCAGACAGAAGGGAACAGAACAGAGGGACTCAACCCAGGGGCTGGGACAGAGGAGGTCCTTATGACAACAGGCAGGGCGAAAGTTACTACAGACAAGGCAGCTATCCTAGACCTAGGCCAGGTGGAAGGGGAGCCTTGCCAAGTAGTGTTGGTAGCGGTGTCGGCAGTGGTCACCACATGATGGTGGACCCAGACCTCCCTGACCCTCTTGACGACCACTGGCAAAGAATGCAGTCTCATAAAGCCTGGGAAATAATGAATGGTGGGTCAGGCAATGGCCTACCCTTGCCCCCAATGGTACCCCCAAGACGTTGGGGAGATAGAGGCGAGATTCCTGGGGGACCAACCACCCCGCCCTGGCCTAACATGGATAAAAGGAGACGTCAAAACACAGGAAGGGCCAAGATTTGGGCAGAGGAAGGTTCTGGGTTTGCAGGCTCAGGAAGAAGTCAGGTGTGGATGGATCAAGGACAATTAAGACCTAACAGAACTTCATCATCAAATGTGACTGTTAATACTATAAACAGCACAGGGAATAATACACCAACCATGAAAGAGTTCCAGGGAGGTTCACAAGGAGGACAACCCCTCCCAACAAGAGGGACTATCCCCCCGCCACCACCAACTCATCTCCTTCACGAAAGTCCTTTCCAAAGGCAATCACAACAGCAAAGCAGGGACCAGTGGGATTACCGCATGCAACAGCTGGCAGCCTGGGAGAGACAACAACCAATCCCGTACCCTCCTTATGAACGACCAGACTCACTTCATGAGGCAAGGAGAGAACAGGAAGAAGAAAGGTCAAAAGGTCGAACAACTTGGACAAATCAGGTACAGCCACCAAACAATGGTGGTTCATTATTAGGAAAGTCAGAGATGAGGTTTCCTGACCAAGGGAGTGGACGGCCATCATTAAAGCTGTCTGACCTCAGTCCATCACTGGCTACCATATTAGGAAATATGACACAACAACCAATACAACCAGGACAGTTTCCTCCAAATGCCATAGATAGTCCAGCAATGACGCACACATTCCCACCTCAACAGCAAAATCCAATGATGAGAAACCGGTTCACAGACTTACATGGTGGTGCCATACCCAGACAAGGGGAACAACTCCAAACACCAAACATTCCAATGAGGCCATATACAGACACCAGAGGCCAGAGAACCTTCATAGGTAAGACCCAGTTATCAGAGATTTTAAAATGTCAGGATATCTTATCTTCATATTTGATGTAAAATACCATTCTCTCATGATTACTAACTGATGCAATTTCCACATCAGAACTAACTTTCACAAAACATACTATAAAAAGTTTTCCAATCCTGACTTGTTTAGGTTTGAGCATGAAATTCACAAAAACAAATGAAAAAAAAACCAAAAGCCAGTATAGGTATATAGAATGTCTGTTCACCTCATCATAAATTATAATAAGAAAATTGTATGTAACATTTATGATTAATATGAATGTTAAAATGTTTTAAGGATATAAATCTATCTTGCTCATTACAACATATATGATATATGATATCATTCTTCAGGCGAAGGTAACCAGACCAAGGGAGACAACCAGACAGACCCTGATGGACCTGTTGGAGGGGATGTGTGGCAAACTCCCCAGGGCCAGCAACAACTCTCTCATGGTGAGTCCATGCTTGGTCCTTTACTGACTCGCGCTAAAGCTCGAGGTTTCGATGTTGATCATGAACAAGAGTCAGAGTTGGAGTCGGAGGATAGCCAACTGCGAAAGATCATTGTTGGAATGTACATGGAGAAGTTAGCCATTAAAGACGGAGAGGGAAGACCTGGTTATGATCCCTTCCAGGCTGCCATGGCAGATGTCAATTCTACCCTGTGGTCAACCCTTAGAAATATATCTCATAATAGGGACAGTCTAAAAGGTGATCAGGCATTCACTGGAAATCTAGATAATACTCCCACCAAATCTGCTGCTGCTAGGATTCCTACAGACATACAAAGGATTAGGGGGCGTTATCCAACAACTATGACAACACAAGATCAAAGACAGTTACAAGATGGATTCCAAAGAAGACAACCGTCACAAAATCCGAAATTATCCGAGGTTATTCCACACATGGACACTGTGCTACAGAGACCTACTGGAATGCCTACAGTAACTGGCAGAGGTCTGAATCCCATGATAGTCAGAGGAAGTAACTCTGGTAATCTAATGAAAGGTCAACCACCTTCGACATGGCCACAGTCAAACCAAGGACAAGGCCGTCCTTCACCAAGACCAGCCTATAATCCACACAATCCTCGTAACGTATTTGTACCTCAGGGTGTATATCCACAGACCTTTAATCCACAGATATATGATCCCAGACAAGCGTATGATGTTCGAGGTCAGGATAAGGTCACAGAGACACCATCTACTACAACTATACCCCCTCAAGATAATAATGACCAGAACCAAAATAATGACCAGAATGAGTTAGAAGAAATCTTGCCAGTGGGCACAAAAATTCTTCCAAGTCACATTCCAAAAATTCTAGCCATTCTCAATGTTTCTGTTCCCATAACAACACCTCGTGTTCTAGTTGCATCTCAGATTGATGGAGTAAAACCAGGGAACAATAATGAGCCAGCTCGTATGATCAACATTCCAGGCCCAACAGAGGAGATTCAAACAGCAACAGAGTTTCTACAGCAGGACATTTCAACAGCAAGAACAATAGTTACAGAGAGTACTTCCTCTGCTTTTGGAATAATAGTGGGGTGTTTAGTGGCGTGTGCTGTGGTAGTAGGCCCTGGTGTATGCATAGGATGTAGAATGAGGCAACGCTCAAAGCAGCGAGAACGAAAGAAAGCAGCAGCTGCTGCTGCAAGAAATGAAGAAAGTGGCATAATGGAAGCCATCATCATGAGTGAGCTGGGCCGTAGTGCACTGAATCGGGATGACCCTCCAACGAAAGGTGCTCGATCAAAAAGTAGGTCTGAATTGGGAACATTTCAAGAGCTTCAAAACTTACGATCAGGACGAGAATCGCCCACAATAATTGTGCACTAAGCTTGCCGCATTTTTGAATCCACTTTTTAGCTTACATATAATGTAAATGTGATAAAGACTGACGTAAATATTGACAAAAATCTTTATTTTTTAGATTTACAAGGTTATGATTCCTTTAGTGCCTTAACTATGTGTTCATTCTTGAGATGAGATGGTTTTCTTACAATGATAGGAATGTCCTGTGGTGCATATTTGTGTGCGGTGAATATGATTGAGACTCTATAGCAGCATTGGAAATCAACATTTAAGGCTCCAGTTTTCAAATGATTAAAACAAAATTATTCTAATGTTTAATTGATATATCTCATAAGTGTGCTCTATATCATAAAGAATTAAATTCAACATACACAAATATCCTTCATTTGTATAGAAGCTGGAATATTATGTCCTTTGATTGACTGATCAAATCAGACAAGATTATCTCCCTTTGTTCGATGGTACCATGATTTCATCCTAGATGAAAACTCATGCAACACATTATCATTGAAGTTTATTAATTGTCTTAACATGTAACAGTAATTTCTAAACATTAGCATGACCATGATCAAATCCTTACAAAGGGAGATAAATCCTCACAGACATAATCTTCTTGATCTTGGAAATGAAATAATATCTTACTTGATAATACTGATATTGGATACAAATTAACTTTGAACCTGAATACACGGTTAATAACATGATATAATAAAATTAAATCACAAAAATGTCTTGTTCTTTGTTCTGGTTTTTATATTCAGTTGGATAAAAAATTACACAGCTCTGCCCCAAAAGGACACAAATTTAAACTAGAATAGGCCTGTAAGACATAAAGCCCTGCTGCCATGGCCTTGACCTTTGACTCCTGAAACACAACAATTTCCAAAGTAAACTCATATTTGATCTTTGCATAAAGTTTGGCTAAATTACATGGCTAAATTCCATGAATTGTTGAAGATGCTAAGTATTTAAACTGAAAACAAATGGAGACATGCTTGATCTGCCTTCCTGCTCTCGATTTCAAATTTCATCATAGTCCTTATAACATATAAGTTATATGAAATAAAAATCTTTTGGGGAGGTGCTTTTGAAGCTAGGTCTGTATGTGCATCATTTAAATGGAATGTACCTACAGAAGATAAGGAGGAGCTGTCAGTGTAAACCTTAACCTTACACATGTGATAGACTAAAATAACCAATTTATTGGATGTAAGTTTATAATTCACAAAATGAGAATCAAATGAATAATCAATATACATAATTATTGGTTTATTTCTGTAAACATGGATCACTGCCCTTTATATAAGTATTGATTATAACATCTGTGATACCATCTCCGTTTAGTGACTGGAGAACCAGTCCTATATATCTTTATTTCTTCACATTTATAACATCTGCCTTCCTTATCACCTTCTCTTGTTGAAGGAAACATTCCAAAGTCAGCTGAGAAATATCTTAAAACTTTTTCTTTTTTAACATTGCTTTAAAATCTTACTTCATCACATTACCCCTGTAGTAATTCAATGAAGTTACATCACACATAAACTGTGTTACCTGACTGAGCTGTATCGTAATCAGTAGGACAGCTTTACTTCTGACAATTACACAACAAGGGATCACACAGGGTTTTGCTATACATCTAACTACTGCTCTAGCTAATTACAATCCATGAGTTGATTGTGTTAGACAGATTGACAGAACAATGGCTATGTAAATATTGTATAATACTGTTTGAAGTCAGAACACTATCACAACCTGCCCTTGTAATTAACAAAGAATATCGAGATCGATAGAAAGCTTCTAACATCATGTATGGCATAATCATGGTGAAACTCGACTGATCAATATATTACTGTTTATAATAACAATCATTACATGATTATTTCTAATTTTGGAAAAAAAACTTTTACAAAGAAGTTCACACCATGTTTTCTATCAGATCAGAGGACAAAGTTTGACCTTGTCTATTCTGATTCAGCTCAGATATGCTTTTTTATGTCTAATACATATTCCGTTAACAACGTCAGATTACAACAACTTCTATGATTATAAAAATCGCTAAAATAAACAGAATTTTTTTAATGAATTAGATTCTCCTGCTTTTTGTTTCGTACTAAATACACCTTGAAATAATGTCTATAATCATAAAAACAAATTACTAACAATTACTAAACAAGGTAGATAATCCAACTAGATTGTAAATGTATTTGTGGGTAATAACGCTTTCACCTAAATTCAACACCACCATCCTCCCCAATACTGACTGAGTAGGGGAGAAAATAGTTAATTAACAAAATACCGACCAAGTAAGGGAGACAATAGTTAATTAATGAAATATCTGCTAAGTAAGGGAGACAATAGTTAATTAATGAAATATCTGCTAAGTAAGGGAGACAATAGTTAATAAACAAAATACTGACTGATTTAGGGAGACAAGATTTAATAACAAAATACTGACTGATTGAAGGAATCAATTTTTAGAACCTTAAATATTGACAAATTAACAGGAGACAATTGTTAGCTTCCTCGTATTGGCTAATCAATGAAAATAATATTCAGTAATCTAATACCAACTCAATAAAGGGAGAAAACACTGAACTATCTAATGTTGAATCATCCCAAAATTAATTGATTAATGAAGGCAATTCTGTTACCAGTAGAACTGACTTATTAATGAGAGACAGTTCAAGTTATTCATAGAACCTACTGATTAAAGGTAAACAATTCTAGTTATCGGCAGAATGAAATGATCTAAGGGAGACAATTCCAATTACCCACAGAACCAACTGAACAGTTCTAGTTACCAGCCGAACTAACTGGTTAATGAGAAATAATTCCAGTTACCACAGTACCAACAGATTAAAGGGAAATAACTCTAGTTACCAGCAGAATGGAATGATTTAAGGAGACAATACCAGTTATTCACAGAACCAAGTATTTAAAAGGAAACAATTCAAGTTACCAGTAGAACCGACTGACAGAATGGAGGTATCACATTTTCCATGATGTATGGCAACGTCAGAAAACATCAGACTGTGACATCTTGGATGAGATGAATTTATAGACAGTTTTATTGTGATCATTTCCCACAAGAAATATTGATTTTTATGTGCCTTTTGAATTCTGATGTAATTTTGAAAACTGTGCAATTTTTTAATTTTTATGTGGATTGGATTTCTGTGTGTGATTTACGTTTGATGTAGTTGATGCTCAAAAGTATGCCCAGCTATTATGATTTCACTAACCAAGTTTTAAACTTGACATCAATAAAGTGCTTCAATTCTAGGAACACCTGGTCTTATTTCCCTTTTACTTTTAAAAGTATCTCTATGGAAATCTGTCCTGTAATCATTTTTGCACTCATTTATTCCCTTTAAAATGAGAATGACAGTTTTGTTTACATATTTCCACTCTGTTGTGGTTTTTAAGTAAGAACCAATATAATTAAAAGTGGACCGGATAACTCTGCAGGTTATATATGGTATGTGATGCGTCACTACAGTTCTGTTATGTTAAATCACCTCCCACTACCAGATAGAGATCCGTGCATCATAGATTGATTTATTTACATTTCAATATTTTGATGTAAAACTTGATCACCGGAAGAGTTCTGTGAATCTGTAAATGGAATTTTTATTGATTAAAAGATTTTGAACATTTTTTTATGGCACTAATTATTTAAAAATTGGTTTGTGTTGATTCTATAAAACGAGACAATGGTTTGCACTGGAGAGTCTGGTAAACATTGCTAAGTAGAAGTAGTAATGACAGTAAACGTCGAAGGCTTTTTAAGCAATGTTATACATAGAGATTATATATGTGTGCATGAATTATTCAGTGGTACCACCCATTGTGACTACAGTGGGATTTGCTACAGGATGCTGAAGCTCAGCCAGAGCTGATGAATTTTTTAATATGATTGGGTCAGTAAATGCCTAAATCAATTACTACAATCAACCAAATTAATATCACATCACTAACGACGTTGACAGGTAAAATTGATATATTTGACAAATTCTCAATGTGTTGCTGAGTTGCCTGGCTAAGAGTAAACATTTTAGCTAGAGAAATATATATAGTATTTTGTCATCAGCAGCAACTCGAGGTTATAGCGGATGATGTGACACCAGGACTAGGAGGATACCTGTAATTTAGTGAACAGGTGATTTCTCTCGTTATCACAGGTAAGAATCTAACAACATTTTAATAATGGTAAACCACTAAATCATTTATAGAAGAATTTTGTAGAGTCAGATTTTTTTTTTCAATGAAAAGTAAATTTACTAACTAAAATATATTTTTTGAGATATTATGATAAACAGAGGATCGGACATGAGTGTTAACAGAATATATTTCACATGTTCAATAATTTACGAGCATTTTGATGCATAACATATCAAAATATTTTATGATTTATATTCCATATTACACTGAAACAAATGTAAGAGTTATTATATTATCAATTATTATGAAAAATAAGTGAAAACTTTCAAATCAATTTTAATATTATGAGACGGACACATTTCGATGTAGATGAATGTTTTTAACTAATGAGACAATCATGCGATGTATGATGACACAATGAGCCAGTGATGTGATCAATAATTTTTTGTTAAATATTTTGTAAATACAAGCTATTTAAGTTAAAAAAACAAAAGTTAAAACATTATACCACATTTGATTTATTGAATTGTGGCACAATTTTTTTTCCTTTTCATTTAAAATTAAATAATTGAAATTCTTGTGAAATAACTGGAAAATATTTAATCCTTAATTTGGCTTTTTTAACATCTGTTACCAAGCAATGCTCTCAGCCTATTTCAATACTTTGTCACTGAGGAAAATCAGCCAGTTTTTATCACATTGTAGGCTCTATCACATTGTAGGCTCTATCACATTGTAGGCTCTATCACATTCTAGGCTTTATCACATTGTAGGCTCTATCACATTCTAGGCTCTATCACATTGTAGGCTCTATCACATTCTAGGCTTTATCACATTGTAGGCTCTATCACATTGTAGGCTCTATCACATTGTAGGCTCTATCACATTGTAGGCTCAATCACATTGTAGGCTCTATCACATTGTAGGCTCTATCATTTTAATTTGGATCCTTATGACCTATTAGCATAGTATTCTGTAGCTTAGATACCACA